TTTATGATGTGCATTAAAGCAGAAAATACTGATTCAAATGAGAAAAAGTAAAGTGCATGGAAGCTGAAGACAAAGAAGTGACAAGGTGCCTATTCTTACAAATTGTACAAGAACATTCTAACAATTTTAAAAAGCCTCTTCAGTGTAGTACAGAGCTTTGATTGCAATACACTAGGAAAAATAAATTATATTTTTAAATAAAGACCACAATAATGTTACTCAGAAACAACGGCAAAGAATTCCTACAATGTTATCTGTTTTTTTCGTTCATGTAAACGTGTAAGATTAGACACGAATAACAACCAACACACACGAGTTATCAGCAAAGACAAACTTCAAACCTAAACTCCCTACAAAGCAGTAAGGAAGCACAGATGACAAAAAATGCAGAAGACCAGATGGTGAAGTCCACAATTTTTGCAGTGCACTAAAAGCAGAAAGTTAAATTCCTTAAACTGGCTCCTCCTCTTACATGATCCAGACATGTTTTATGTACCCTTTATATATGCAACATTTTCAAAACAAGGGTAATTTGGCATTTAAAATTAAAAAAAAAAAAATCAACCTTCCAGGCCAAGAACGATCTATGTCAGCCTATCTGCTGTGTCTGGAAAACACAGTATGAACAAGAGATTAAAATGAACTCAAGTGCTTCCTTTTGAAGCATACGGTAAATTACTTTTAAAATTAAATTCAAGGATTATTTTAATGAACAAAGGTGTGGAAGAAATTGCTACAAGGTTTCACTGTAAAAGATTTTCACTGAAATGTGTGAAAACTAGCTTTAGGAGCAAGTCAGATTCAGGAACACTTGGCTTATCATGCAGTATCAAACACAAGGTAATTATAAGATACATCACCTAAGAAACTACCAAACACTATCAATGTAAGCCTGTACTTGTTACTTCAAAAAAGGGTTTGATAAATTCAATAAATTGATTGCCTCTTGACTTTTAAAGTACTGGGCTATGTTTTGGTGAGGAAAATTTGAAGAGTATTATGATTTAACAGCACTGTTTTGCTCTAGTGTAAATTATCTACACACACTTGACACATCTCTGTAGTATGTCATTTGTACAAATAGAAAAGCTGACTGTTTTTTAATAACATATACACATATATAAGGTATATTGCCTTTGCCAATGATTAATCCAGTTTTGCCAGTAGGGACAATAAAATTGAATTCCTGTAATCCACCAGGAGGCCCCATGTTCCAGTTGCCTTGGCCTCTACCCCTTCCTCGACCACCAGGTCCTGGGCCACCAGGGTTACCAGCCTAAAAAAGAGCAGCAAGAAATGAGCAAGTTCTAGAACAAGTAATGCCAACAGGTTACATCACATCATTTCTAAAGAAAAAACTGATTCACTACTCAGATAGTTTTGATAGTTGTAGTAGTATCTTTTTTGGAAGACCTAAATTACATTTTAAAAGACGTTCAGTACAACTCTGCATGTGAAAGATGAGAGGATATCAAAGCAAGCAGAAAGTCTCATATGCACAAAGATGGAATTTTTGTCTGCCTTCTGTAAATCAGCAGTAGGGCTCATTTAAGAATACAAGATGGTTTAAATGCTTGAACACCAATTACAACCCAAAGTAACATCATGTTAGCTCTTAACACAATATAACAGAAGCAGCAGCTCTAAAACCAACCACATAAAGAACTGCCATGACCTTGAATCAGTCTTATCACTTGCAAAACTGTAACTGTAAAAGCAAACATTCCTATTCCAGACCAAACTTTGAAGCAGATTCAAATGGCATCATTAAACTATTTGCTTTAGTTACACACACTTTCTGAAAAGTTTAGGCCTTTCCAAAAGGTGGGCATGAGATCTGAAATTTGAAATAACATTACCCAACCTGAACACTGCGAAGGAGATCTGTAATAATTTCTGCAGCATGCTGACATCTGTCAGGAGGCCCTGTGATCTGGGCTATTCTATCTGGAGTTGTTCCATCATCTGGAATAAAAAGGAACTATTCCAGTATATGCAATCCAATAAATTTACAGTCAACTCACAGAAATTCAAGAACGTGTCACAAACCTGGCTTAAACTGGATCCTAACACCAGCATCATTCTGGATCTTTTTTATCATCTCCCCATTTCTTCCAATTACAATACCTACAGCAAATCGTGGTATTGGAACCTTAAGAAAAAACCAAAACAAACAAGATGTTGTTGATGCAGATATTCCTACCAAAATCACAGAATGAAAGGGTTACAAAGTAGAAGAGTAAACCAGGGCAAGACCTAAGCCGCTTCAGGCTTTTTCAACTGTCTATTTTTTAACAGTCCCAAGTCTAGTAAATACTGGACTGCAATTTAAAAAAGAAAGCAATCTTATGCACTACAAGTTCTCACAGTGGTAGCAACCGCAGGGGATATTATGCTTCTCAGAGTAATTAAAAAAAAGAGTTATAAGGTGTCTAAAATGCAGATTCCAGCAAATGAAATGTTAAGCCTCTTCTTATTAGCTTGTGACTTGCATAACAGGTGAACTTAAATATCTTTCCATAAAGGCCCAACCCCAATTTTGGTAACATTATAGGGTTCTATACTTGGCCATAAAACTGACTTGCTTATTTGACAAGCTCCAGCTGAAACTGTTCAGAGCAGCTGGCAATGTGAAGTGAACGCTGCACACCAGGTCGTGCCATAACTTCAGCAATGACCAAGTCATACTTACACGCCACCACCACTTTAGCAATCTGATTAAGAGCTTTCAGCAGTATTACCCAGCTTAACATTTGAAAGTTAACATCTCAAAATACAGTGAACAAGTTTTTCAACCATGCTTACGTCTATCCCTTCATTTCCTCCTATTCTTGACCCATATTCGTTGCGCACCTCTCTAAAGCCACCTTGATCACGGATTAACTCCAGCACCATTTCCTTGGCTTGCTAGAAGAAGGAGGAAAGTTCATTTAGGTACTGCAACACCAGAATGGATTTAAAAATGCTCTGAATTGGGAAGGACTCCTTACTTGAACTTTGTAAGGGTCTCCAGTTATCCTAAGGGGCTTGTCTGCACCAGTGTTCTGTGGCCCATCTTGAATCATGACCATTTTGACACCTGCCCGCTCCTATTTGATAAAAGGGAGGTCAGTACCCACTCAAATCCAGATTCCACACCATCATATTTAAAAAAAGATACATATATACCTGTAACTGTTTAATTGTCTCTCCACCTTTCCCAATAACTAATCCTGCTTTACTTGCTGGAATCATAATTTCTTGGACTGCATTTCCAGGTCCATCACCATGATGAAAGCCAGGTGCAGGTCTTCCCTTTTCAACTATCTGATCAAGTAATCTTTTTGCTGATCTGTGAAAGAAAACCCATATTTATAAATAACTTATTCCTGCAAGTATCACTTCCCCACACCTATTCTCCTTGGAAGTTCTTTTAATCTGAGAAGTTTCTGTCAAAAAAATGTGCCTACTAACACTAAGAAATATGAGGCAAACTCAGTAAATTTGCAGCAGTAACTTAAGAACTAACTGCAAGGTAACAAAACCACCCCAATGTGAGAATGCAAAAGGTGGTTCTTTACCAGACTAGCTCAAGTAAGTTTCCCCTTCAAACATGACCATCACCCCTGAATACAGTTACACTAATCAAAGCTTAACTCTGAAAAAAAGCTGCTGCATGCCAGGTAAGGACATTTGTACTTGGAACCATCACCAGAAGAGTGGACAAAAGCAAGTATATATTCACCACATGTGTAAGTCAGCTGCCATCAGAGGACTGTGATCATGATTTTACTAACATCAGTTAAGAACTCTTCCCTTTAATATGTGAGCAGAATAAATTACAATTACAAAGAAAATTCCCATAAAGGAAATGACTTCATGAATGGTAGGGTGCCTGGCTGAGACTTAAAAGGAGGATGACACCTACTTTCCCAAAGGAAAACATGTAGCTGCAGGCCCTACCTGGAAACATGAAGTGGCAGCAGCTAACATAAATAAGGTAATACCATTATACCACTACACTCCAGATCTTTCCTAGCAAAGCCACTA